GAAAATAAAGTTCCAACACCATTTCATTTTGTTAAACAAAATATTAAAAAAACTTATACAGAAAATGAAACAAGTCATTTAATGGGTCGATTAACAACATCTGATGGAAAAATGTGGTTGAAATTTTTACCTAATGTAGAAAAAAAAAAAAATAAGAAATTGAAATTTGTGATTAAATTAAGATTTACATTTTAGACTCGTCAATTATCTGGATCAAGTGTTCGTTCAGATGATTTGCCTACAAAAGCAAACTTATTGGCACCTAAACAAAAAATAATAGACATTGAAAAATATAACAAATCAAAATCTCCAATGCAAACAATACAACCAACAATTGGTAAGTATATTTGATATTTCGTTATTTAACTAAAATCTTTTTTTAATTTAAATTTATCAACACTTCTAGTTAAATCACCAAAATTAAAGAAGAGTACTAAAAAATTGACAACATCAATTGGTAAAATTCTATTTTATTTCTCAACATAAAATATCTCGTTTTTTTTTTTCATTCAATCAATTTAGATTCTAGTAAAAGTGGAACTAATCTTCCATCATCAATATCAACAAGAAATAAAAAGAAAACAGGTCTATTATCAACAGTTAGTAAGTTAATGATGTAAAAAATAAAAATCAATCTTATTTTTGTTAACATTTTTAGAATCTTTAATTACACCATCACGCACACCGGCTCCTATAACATCATCAACACCAAATATTGCTGATTTAGTTCTTATACGTCATACAAGTACACCTAAACCTGGTGAAACAGCATCTCGTATTACTATAGGTGGTAATGATGAAGCACCACCTCTTTCAGCCATCTATGAAGTTTCAACATCTGATATTCGTCCACCTGCTAATGTAACTTCGCCGACTCCTTCAACTATTACTGCAACTGATATTTCGACAGCTAGTACGCCAATGATTGCTATTGAACGTCGAAGCACAGGACGTGCACCAACTGTACGTGGTCAAGCGGCAACTGCTCGAGAAAAGATTGCTTCTATGCAAATTCGAGATGATGACGATGATGAAGAACTATTCAAAAAACTTTTCAGTCGACAAAAAACAAAGAAATCGAAAAATACAGCAGTTGTTCCAACGAAAAAATCTGATGATTTATCTGATGTTTCAGTAAATTATCTTTCTAAATATTATTTATTTTATTTTATTTTATTGAAAGACAATATCTTCGGCTACTTCAACTACTGAATCAATATTTACACCACCAACAGCACGTAAACGACCTACAACTGATCGAATGGATGATGATGATTTTGCCGCTGGTATTCGTTCTTGTCTTTTTTTTTTGTTTTTTTTTCTTTTATGTTTGTCATATAGAACATAGCACACCACCAAAAACGCCACGTACATCACGTCGTAATCGAATTGATGATCAAACATCTACTCAAGTAAATTTTTGTTTAATGATATTTCAATTACATTTATTTATTTACTTACTAGGCAACACTAATTGATATTAGTGATAGTCAAGTTAATCTTGACTCACCTCGACTTCTTCGAAGTGTTATAAAAAAACTTCAACAACAAGCATCAGGTATGTTTTATATCATATGTCAAATATGTAAAACTCGAAATAAACATTTTGTTTTAGCCAAAAAGAAATTAGCATATGAACAAGAGACAATTGTATCAGATCAATCGGTAATTAGACTATTATGTTTTTCTTTTTCCAAAAGTTTTATCTTTTATTTTCTCTCGTAGAAAACACAAAATACAACAAAAGATGAAGAAGATATGGATTCTGTCTATGTTCATTTAGAACGATCATCAATAGGTCTACATTATTCCATGGGTAAATAAATTACATCCATTTTTTTTTTTTGTTTTGACTAGAACTACATTTTTTCTCTTTTTTCTTATAGAAGAATCTGATTGAAGGAATCGATAGATAACAATTCGTTAGTTTATATTTTTTTTCTCATTGTGAACTATTTAGTATTTGTATTTGTTTTTATCCGAATCATGAAATTTTTTATACGTTTATCTAGATATGAAGTTGTATATAACTTTGTTCAAATAATAAAATGAACAAGCATATTAATCATTGCAAACAAGGAAATTTTTCGGCTAACTGTTTTAAGTTCAAATACAAATAAAATTTGAAAGCTATATTATAATCAAGATCTCACGATGATCTAAAGATCCAAGAATCCTATGATTTTCATTGAACCATTGTTACTAAGTTACATGTTCCTATGGGATAAACTTTTTTCGAGACTTCGATATGAATTTCCGTTTATTCACAATTCGTTGCATAAAATGATGATTTTGAAGTTAGAACTCAATCTTTTTGATATAATAGAAACAAGTTTCAGTAACAACAGTGATTAGATCGAATGTTACTGCCACCTTTTTTGAAGTTTTCGTGATATTAAAGGTTGGTAATTGAAACTGAAAGTGTATTCACTAGTCTCGTATTTTAAATGAACCTTAAATTGTTATGACTACGTATGAATACAGTTGATTTAATTTACTTTCTGATTGATAAGAGTTATTCAAATGTGGTTAGAGGATCCACGGTACTAGACCAGTATTTGTCTGTTTTCTATTGATTAGACAAATATCACGTTTTAGTTCTTAGTTTTTAACGAGTTTTATTTGTCATATGTCATTTCAGATCATTAGGAATTGCTCTTACTTAACTATAGGGAATTACTCTAAATAAATTTCTTGAGAATTGTTCATAATGAAATTTTCACATTCGAGCACATAGTTGTAATGTGTTCTCAATAAGATATCTCGAAATGAATGTAAAGAGATGAACTGATGTTGCAACTGGATATTGATTGCAGTGATATGGTCTATAAGTTTTATGCAGTCTATCTTAAAAAAATTTTTCTTATAGATCAATAATTTTTGTCAGTAGTAGTTTAATTGATGCACGTTTTCTTGATTTTGTTGCATACGTCACATGACATTGAGAAGATCGTTTTCTTTTCGACAAATAATAATAATAATAAATAAATTTTGAAGTATTCTTTTTTTCCCCAAAGGTTACAGGAGTAGATTTATATTTGATGCATCGGAACATATTACCGATGAAGACAAAGATACATTTCGATTAGATTTTCGTTCTATGAATGTATCATTTTGTATAGTGATGACACTGTGTACTGGTAGTTATCAAGTATTCTAGCTGTTTTTTCTGTTGAAACTGATGTATCTTGCTGTTCTTAGACTTGATTATTTGATAGTAGTCATTGCTGTGGTTGAACTCTTTGTTAGGCAAATAGTCTTACATGGCAAATCTACATCAATTATGCATCTTATAGGTTTGTCTTTTTGTAGATTTTAGTCGTATTGCACTTAACAATTCAAGACAGTGGAATTCTACTGAAAAATCGAGGATCATTCTATTATTGAAAAAGTTGCGCAATAATCAAATAATAATAAGTAAAACAAATAATCTGATCCGTCGTTATTGTGGGTAATTGGCTGAAATTCTTCAATTAAAATTTTTTCTCTTAAATGAATATTGTTCTATATGATTGTCATTTGGTTTAGTCAGTTTTGCAGCAAATTTGAGAGCTGAAACATTCATTATATGTTTCATTTTGTTATGGAATTTAATTATTTCAAAACGACACAAAAATTTTATATAGGAGCCTTAACTGTGTTTTCAAATCAATAATAATTATTTTTAATGAAACTTGTGTTATATTAGACTAAATTTCAATTAACTTGCGTAAAAACGAATAAGAATAGGTGTGAGAATAAAGACAAATAATGTTTCGTTTTTTCTTTCAATCCATTGATATATACATATATCCACAGTTATTTACAAGGCAAATGAAATATATTTACTGATACTGGTCACTTCATGAAGATCATCTGTTCAGATGATTCTTTTATATACAAGCAAATAAAATTTCTTGTTAAGAGTAGCGATAACAGACAAAAGCACTCAAAAGATTTCATCTTGTGATTGAAAATTCAATCGTAAGTAACATTCACAGAGGGCTGATTCTACACATACACACAGATAATACTCAATTGGAAGTCAGACAATAGAATTGTGAGTCGAACACTGGGTTGACTTTTGCACATTCAGATCTAAGTTTTTCGAGCATCTGTATATTTGGAAAACCTACTATTCATAAGCTTTTAAACGAAATTATCCTTACTTCTCTGACTTATGTGTTTTGTTGGAAAAATATTTACCACTTGCATATCAGAGTATGCTAATAAATCGATTATAATTGAGTACGATAAATTTCAATCAGCGTCTTGTAATTCTATTCTTTGTGAAATATCAAATAATTAAGAAAGGTTTCCTGAAAATTAGACAGTCTTTCCTATTAATTTACTAAACGGTAGTTATATAGAAATATTTATATGATTATTACAAAGTTCCTTTCTAATCCAAGTTTCAATGAATACAAGCATTATTCATATTTGAAAAATCTAGCATTTAGAGTTTCATCTATAAAATAAAATTATCTGTCAAATAACGAAAGAGAATAAAACTTTTTTTACATCATTATTTTCTTCACCATTCATTAAGGTTTACTTACGACTAAAGTTTCAATTTCAACAGTAGATCTTTTGATTGCTTTTACCTAGTATCACTAACCTTTTGACAAATACTATATTAAAAGATATAGCCTTGCAATAATTTCCATCATCAATTGAATAATAGTAATGATGAGTTTGACATTCGCTCATCTTCATTTAAATAAATGTTGACGAGACTTCAGCAATCGATCTTCACATTCACCGACCTTCCATTATCCTTTAGCTCTTTTTTTGCTCAACTTTTACTTCTCGCGTCATATCGTATAGCCAACGTATACGATTCTTGTCAATTGAAAAAGCTTGACTTTAATTGAAAATTTGGAATGTCAAAAAAAAACAAAAGGTAGGAGAAAGTGTTTGATTATTGTTACTAAATAATGACTTCGAAAAGATGAGATATATATCGTTTGATCTTAGTATTGTATGAAAATAAAGACGGACAACGATATGATGACGATGTAAGACTTACGACGCAACTCCTAATGAGTACAAGTTAATACATATTGTTGACGATGAAAAAGGCAAGATGGATAAAAAAAAAAGAAGTGTGCGTGCTTGTCACTCAAGATAAATATTGTCACTTTTGTTATCTAAATAAAGAAGAAATAAGCTCAAACATCGTTATTTTACTTTTTCAATATTGATCAATGTTGAGTGATGAGACTTTGAGATTGACTTGTTTTACAATATTTTCTTCTATTCAATCGATTTTCTTTTTAGTTTCAAGTAAGTTAAAAGAAAAAAAAAAAGATAATAAAACATCTCTTTATTTTTCTATATATGAATAACAAAGAGATTAGAAGAATATATGAATGAATAGATTTATTGTTTTCTTTATGGTTTTTCTTTATTATAATATAGAATAGTATTGTTTATAGATTAGTAAAATATTTTCATTTGTTTTATTTTTCTTTTTATATATATGTATATATATAACAATAATAAATGATGATCATTATAATATCTATATTATTTGTTATTATAATAAAAAATTCATATTCAAATCCAATAATAAAAACTTATCCAGTAGTTGATTTATTAGAAAATATTCCATTAAATACATTTGTTATAGAACTAACAAATTCATCAAATAAATTAATTTTAATAAATTTAAATGAATTTGAAACAAAATTATTTTCAATTATAAATGGAAATATATATACAAAAGATTTAATTGATCGTGAAGAATTTATTGATAAAAAATATTGTTTAGATAAATTTTATTGTAAAATTGAATTACAAATACTTGTTGATGATGGTTTAGCTTATTGGATTATTCCAATACATATTATTGAGTAAGTTATTATTGTTATAAATAAAAAAAAAAGAAAAATATTAATTCAAAGTTTAATTTAAGTGAAAATGATAATAAACCAGAATTTGCTAAAAATGAAATTGAATTAAAATTTGTTGAAAATGTATCAAATGGATATAAAATATATTTTGAAGGTGCAAAAGATATTGATGAAGGTAAAAATAGTGAAATTCGTTATATACTTGATTGTTCAAATACTTTAAATAATAATAATAATAATGAAATATTATATTTAAATCAATCATCAATAAATTGTTATCCATTATTTGAATTAATTTTAATATCAAAATCATCATTAATATCATTATCAAATAATTTTGATAAATTAGCATTAAAATTTAATCCATCATTATCAAAAATAAATATTGAAAATGAATATAAATTTATAATTTATGCTATTGATAATAATCAATATGAAAAACAATTAATAAATTCAATGAATTTATTTATTAAAATAGAAGAAAAAGATAAAAATTTTATAAAATTTCTTTTATCTGAATATGAATTTATTGTTTTATTAAATGAAACATTAAATAAAAATGAAAATTTTATAGGTAAAATTCATGCTATATCAAATAATCCATCAGATTTAATTTATTATAAAATTTTATCAAATAATAATAAAACAAATCTAATTAAAATAAATTCATTAACTGGTCAATTAAATTTAATAAATGAAAATAATATAAAATATATAAATAATGATATTGAATTTATTGTTGAAGCTTATTTATTATTAAAAGATAAAAATTTTAAAAAACTTAAAACTCAAATAAAAGTTAAAATTTATTTTCGTTATTTACATTTATTAAAAAATATTTCATTTGAATTTGAAAATATTTTATTAAATAATCAAAATTATATTTATCAATTAAATAATAATTCAAATTGTTTTTTTATTAATAAAAATATTAAAATAAATGAAAAATTATTAAAAATTTCTCTTATTTCATATTATTATCCAAATGATAAATTTATATTTTCACTTGAAAATTATTTTAATACATTTTCACTTATTCCTTTTTCTTCTTCTTTAATAAATACTTATATTATTAAATTAAATCAACAACTTATATCAAATTATACTTATTTATTAAATATTCAAATTAAACATAAATTATCTCAACAATATTTACCTAATTTACTTGTTCAATTCATTATTTTTGATCAATTAACAACAACAACAACAACAACAACAACAATAAATAATATAACTTTTATTAATGATATTCAAATAACAACTGATTTAATAACATCAACTTCAATTTCTCATCAATTTATTGATAAATCATTAGAATTTTGTTTAGAAAATAAAACTTATATTCTTAATGATATTATAAATGAAAATAATGAAATTGCTTTTTTAAAAGTACTTCAATCCAATTTCTATATAGATAATAATAATAATTTAACTATTATTTTAACAAATTTTTTAAATAATAATCAAAGTGAAATAATAATAAATGAATGTCGAATGTCTATTAATAAATTAAATAATCAATTTAATAAATCTTTACAATATCAATTATGTTCATTTATTGACAATAATAATAAACAATGTTTTAATTTAACATTTATTATTGATGAAATAAATTCAATATTATTTTCAATTGATAATCATATTGAAAAATGGATTTTACCAATAAAACCAATTGAAAAAATAATGTTTTTTATTTCAATTATATTTCTTATTGGAACAATTATTCTTATTTTACTTATTTGTCGATTAAAAGATTTTCATATTTGTTCAAAAATCAAAAATTATTTTTTCTATGGAAAAAAATATGGTGTAAACAATTCTCAAAATTTATCCTTTTCTTTTTCTTCACCATCACATCCACCACTACCATCATCATTATCATTAGTAGCAACAAAAATTCCAGTTTGTTATTTGTTTTAGTTCTATTTCTTTATTTTATTTTATTTTATTTTTTGTTTCCATTATTTTATTTTAGCAAAGAGCTCATTCAATTATCGATCGAGAATCTTGTTTATCTTCATTTCAACCAATTCCAATAAGTGAGTCATTTGATTAGATGATGAATTTTTGTACATCACATATTTATATATATGATAGAAAATGATGATAATGAACCATATTTATTTAATATTGATCATTTTCTTCAACGAGAACCACTTCCAAAAACAAATACATTCACTCTTCCACCAACTGAACAAATATCCTCCTCCTCCTCCTCCTCCTCCTCCTCATCATCATCATCATCTTCATCATCATCATCTTCATCTTCATCATCTTCACTTCAACAACAAGAAAAAATAATATTAAATGTTGAAAATCGATTAACAACACCTCGAATATCATCCTCATCATCATTTCTTCAAGAGACAAAACAATTATTAGAAATGATATCATCAAATCAAAATTTTGATTTATCAAGATTAACTTCTGAAGTATAATGTGTTTGTTTTCATGTTTTTCCTTCATTGGAATCATTTACTATTTGCTTTTGTTGACCAAATTTATCAAATATAAATATTAGATAGAATGTGTCTTGTAGAAACATTTCTACATCAAAAGAAAAGTAATGATATGAATGAAAATCTATAAATATTATTTTCATCCTATGAGACATGTACTTATTAAGTATCAATATGTGTTTCAATGGCTAATACAATCAGATTTCGTATAAAACCAGGCATAAATCCAATTGGAAAAATTTCTTCCATATGATTCAATCTTTTCCTATGGTTTGAGTCAAAACTATTTTCTCGTCAGTTAATGCTATTTCTTTAAGTGCATGTTTGTGTAGTAGATTAGAGAGAAGCATTACTCTTTACAAGAAGAAATGAAATGAAACATTTGGTTTTTGTCAGAAAATAGCCAAACCGACGCTTTTTTAAAGTGATTTTTAATTCATGTTGATACAGATGAAGTCTCTGTGTTGAAAATGGTCGAAAATTAACCAACAATAGCAGTTGCATCGATTTTGTTCATTGAAAAAACTAAGATGGTTTTTTTCAATACAAGATAGAATTATCAATATTGATTTGTCTTCGTTAATTCTTACATTTTTTCTATACTTATTAGTTACTATCTGCTAAAATGTTAATTTTATGTTTTATCCTGCTGTTGCTAGTTTGTTTCTTTCACTTTACGGGTTTTTTCTTCAAAGTCTATATGAAACGTTTTTAAATAAGTTTTTAGGAATTGTAGTTGAATGACTTGTAGTTACTTGTTAAATAGGCATTTTATTGAGATATTAGCTTTCTGGCCTCAGTCATTTTCAATTTCTTCAAATTCTTTGTATAGCATAAATATAAATGTAACTACGTTGACCTTTTTTCAAATATATAATTGCATAATGAGAATGAAGATATTAGATATAATTCATTAGAGATATACTTTAAAAGCAAAGATAACCAAAAAAAAAGATAAAAGGAAAAACGAAGGAATGCAAGAGCAAATGTTCTCCTGCAGAATCAACGATAATGAAAACTTCAACACTTGAGCTACCACTAAGCAACATAAAATTAGACGAAAATAGAGAACAAGAGAACGAAAATCACAAGACTGTCTGAAAAAAGTAGAGAAAGATTGATGCCATTGGGTTGACTGTTCAAAACCTAGCGAAGCATAGTGTCATATATTAATGGTAGCAAAATCCAGCTTTGAATGAAGCTAAAGCAAGTCGAAAATGATGTTACATATCTTTGTTGCTTTCCAAATAAAACTATTTCATGGATAGAATATTAGTGTTTTGATAATTTATATTTGAATTCACATTCTTTGTGAACTGTCTAATTGGTTGTGACTAAACGCAAATAGATATTGCAAGACAAGGAATAAGTAGAAGTGTATTAAGTGTTCTATTTTACTGAAGAAGCGTTAAATTATACAGAATACAAAGTCGTTCCTAAGTTTTTGCTTTTCCAATAAAAATAGAAGTGTTCTTTAGTTAAGATAAGTATAAATGAATAAAAAATGACTGAAAATGAAGATTTATATCAATCGACGGAAGAATCGATCTCAATAAAAACTCCTTTTCAAATTTATAACGCATGGAATACATCAACTCTCTCTCGGAATGTCTATTGTAGGAGGGTTTAATATGTTCCTTCTGTTTGTCGTGCAAAATATATATCAATTATGAAAAGTTACTGCCTCATACGAACTTCTATCTAACGTAACATTTCTCTGTTAGCTTTGGTGGTTTCAAATAAAAATTTTTATACTTGAGAGACGTTCCATGAAAAAACCGGAGATAGCGAAAAAATGGGGGTGAACCGATTTTGGATTTGATCCCCTAAGTATTTCAGGCCTTATGTAACATAGATGAATCCAAAATATTACGGTCTAATGATGTACCTTTGGTTCACTAGGGCTGTCCGAGCACAGATACCCTCAAAAATAGCGCAAAAAGGTGTGAGAAATTGACCTATACTTTTTTTGAAATTTTTCCGTCGAAAATTTTTCACTATTCAAATTGAGTCATATACCAATCGATAGAGTTTGATTTGCTCTACAAATCTGTATATATGATACTTCTCTCTGATCTTAGTTTAGAATCGAAAAAAAGTTTAAGAACTGTGATTTTTCAGCAGATAAAATTTGGTCCATTTTTCAGTATTTCGGCTTTATGTCTACGAGAGAAACAAATCACCAAAAGAAATTTTGTATTGTTTTGTAGCTCATTCAATTCTACATTGAATTGTATATTAGTCATTCCTTTAAAACGTTCGAGCAGCGAGATTGTTGGACTTGAATATCGACTATTGACGCTGTATTTTGCCTATTTTTAGTGCCAAACCGTACTCATGTTTGTAATCTTTTTTCTAAAAAGTATTATATTTGCCATTGCTTTGTCCACCAATAGACAGATCTTGACTGGCTCTACAAAACCGTATATATGATATGTCTGGTTGACCTCAATATAGAAGCGAAAATGTCAAAATACAGTATTTGTAGCATATCAAATTTCCTCCATTTTTCAGTATTTTGTCTATATGTCTTGATAAAAAAATCAATTGCCACAAAAACTTTTATTTCATTTTGTAGCCTATTTAATTCTACATCGAGTTATATATTTGGCATTGTTTCAAAATGTTCGAAAGCTGAGATAGCCAGACTTAAATATTGATCGCTGACA